TTCATGAGGGTTCCAGCCTTAAATTAATTACCTTCCAACATTCCCACCTCATAATACCATCACATTGGGGGTTAGAATTTCAACATACAAATTTTGGAGAACATGAATATTCAGTCCATTGTAACTACTCTGCAATAAAAAGGAATAAAATTGATTCACGGAAAGGAAATGATAAATAAAAGGAAATAAATTGATTCATGAAACAAATTAAATGAATCTTCAAAACATAAGTGAAAGAAACCAAACACAAACACTATATATAATCATATCAACCAATTTACATAAAATTCTAGAAAAAAGTAAAGTTATCGTGATAGAAAACTACAGTTAACAGGTCCTAAAGGTTAGGGGAGGAGACTGACTGCAAGGGGACATAATAAAACTTTCTCAGGTAACGAAAATATTTTGGTCAGGTTCAGAGGTTGCGGTTAAATTATACATTTTTTCAAAATCCACTGAAGCATGTACTTAAAACTGGTAAATTTTTATACATAAATTATGCTTCAATAAAGCTGATTGTATCAGTATATGTATGTGCAATAAAAACTGTTAAAATAGAAGTGTGAAGAAACAGAATGTTGATGGGAGTTTTAACATGCTACCTTTATTCTCAATAGATTCATAGATATATTCATTTTATCCAAAAATACTTGCATGCCTTGGGGTTTTTTAAATGATAACATATACTTGAATTTATTTGTGAAAGACAGAATACAGGTTAGGGTGAAAAAACTCCAAGGAAACAAAGTAAGTCACTGACAGTGGCAGGCCTTGAATTCCCTGATTATAGCTCTGTCCGGGCAGCCCCCACTCTCCATCCCAGCATCTTAGTCTAAGTACAAACAATATTGCACTTTTGTAAAGACAAAGACATTCTGCATTTACCATCACATGCCATTTATTCTTGTCCTAGGCATCCTACATACTCTTAATCCTTGTCTCTTCCCAAACAATGTCCATTGTTATTGTTTATCTATAAAGCAATACATTTCATGCTCTATCTACCATGTGCTCTGCACTCCTCTGGATGCTAGAGGTAGGGCCATGGACAAGCAGAAGTTTCTAAACTGTATATATCATCATCAGAAAAAGTAAATAAGTAAATAACTAATATAGTTAAATTAACAATAAAAAAGATCTTGAAAAAATTAAGAAGGTAAGGAAATAAAGAGTAACTGGGAAAGAGGAGTTTGTAGTTCTCTAGAATAAACACGAAGATGTGGCATGGCTGGGTCAGGAAATGTTTGATCAGGAAACTGGGTACTATAGCCTAGTAATGCTGATACATAAAATTAGCCATCATGTTAATCCCTTATGAAATGTAACTAAAATCATATTGAGATGCCATTGGACGACTATTAGAATGGCTAAAAGAAAAATACAATGCCAAGTGTTAATGCTTCGTATGGCTAACACTGATGCAAAGCAACAGGAACTCCCAGATATTTCTGGTCAAAATGCACACTTCTTAATATCCCCTATGTTGAAAAGGAAGTCAAAAGGGAAGTTAGTAAATATTTTGAAGTAAATAAATATAAAAACATAGCATATCAAAATATGTAGGAGGCAGGGGAAGCACTACTTAGAAGATAAACTGTAGCACTGAATGTTCACACTAGACAAGAAGAAATATCTCAGATTGCTTATCTGTTTCCACCTTAAGAAACAGTAAAAATTAAAAAAAAACTAAACCCACAGAAAGCCAAAAAAGGAAGTAATAAAGACAAGAACAGACATCAATGAAAAATAAAACAAACAATAGTAGAAAAAAAATCATTAACATCAAAATCTGGAATCTTTGAAAAGATCAGTAAAATTAACAAACCACCACCCAGAGTTACCAAGAGAAAAGAGAAGACACAAATTACTAGTATCAGGAATGAGAGTAATAACATCACTACAGATCTTGTAGATATCTAGAGACTAGTGAAGAAATATTGAGAAGAAGCTTATGCCTATAAATTCAATAATTTGAATGAATTAGACACATTCCTTAACAAACACAAACTGCCAATGCATATTTTAAAAGAAGGAGAGAACCTGAATTATCTGAATTATCTTGCATATATATAGATATTTGTATATGTCTATAGATACATAGATACAAAATTCAATTAAGGATTGAATTTAGAGCTTGAAACATTTCCAGAAAGAAAATACTAGGCACAGATGGTTTCACTGAGAAATGCTACCACACATTTAGGGAAAAAAGCAATCATTTATTATCTTTCATGGTTTCTATGGGTCAGGAGTTCAGGAGCAGCTCCACAGCATAGTTCTGGTTGAAAGTCTCTCATGTGCTCGCAGTTTGACGTTGACTAAGGCTGGAGTCATCATCAAGTCTTCTTTGTTTATATATCTGGCCCTTGGCCTAGGAAGACTCAAATAGCTGAAAGATGGAACAGCTGAGGTTCCTAGAGCATTTCTCTATATATCTTCATGGTATGTCCATGTGGTCCCTCCAACATGGCGGCATCACGGCAGCCAGACTTCTTACATAGTTGCTCAGGGTTCCAGAATGAGAAATAGAGAAAAAGAAAGAAAGAGAGAGAGAGAGAGAGAGAGAGAGAGAGAGAGAGAGAGAGAGAGACTATATATTTTTTTATGACATGTTCTCCAAAGTCTCATAGTATCAATTCTGCTGCATTCTATTTGTTCAAGCATTCACAAAGGCCCATCAAGTTTTAAACACTGTGTCTAGAGGAGCGATAAACTACCTCTTGGCTGGAAAGTTACAAGGGTCTGTCGGACTGGGAACATTGTTATAGCCATTTTTGGAAAATACTATCCACAACAATGGGATCTCTTAATTAACGTACTTGAGATTACTTTGAACTCACAGTACAACTGCAAATGATTTATTTTAGTCTATTTAAATGTTTCCAAAAATGAAGTTGAATGTAGAAATAAAATTGTAGGTTAATCTGAAAGAGAAACTTAGTCAAGTGCATTTTTAAAAGGAAAGATTTCAGCATGATGAAAATGTACTATTTTGGTTATTCATTTGGCCACATCTAATTGGTCAATAAATAAAACCTATACTTTTGGTTGTAAATATGTGGGTGAATAACAGGTAGCTATAACCATACCTGCCTTGCTGTCTCTCCAACACTCTAACATATATGTTTAGTGTATGTATGCATTTATATATACTCAAATATGTACACACATATGTGTATATTGTCCTTTTAAGCTAATTCAGGAATGTCATTTTTAATAAATAAATGCATTTTATTAGCAAATTAGATCATGGTTAATTTATATAGAGTGAAAATTTTGAAGAAGCTGCACTAGATTCTAGATTTAAAGAAACTACGCTCTTTGCAATTAAAGTCACTTCTATAGGATGAATTGTGTCCCCTCATCCAGATTCATGTCTTTAAACCCTAACACCCAGTAACTCAGAATGTGACTGTATCTGGAGACAGGGCATGAGGTAATGAGTTAAAATGAGGTCACTGAGGAAGACTTTATTCCATTCTGACTGGTTTTCTTATAAGAAGTGGAAATTTAGATACACGGAGAGCCACCAGCTGTGCACAGACACACTGTGATGAGGCAGCAAGAGGATGGCCATCTACAAACCAAGGAAGACAAAATCACTCTGCTGGCACTTTGATCTTGGACTACCATCCTCCAGAATGTGAGAAAATAAATTTCTGTTACTTAAGCCACCCAGTCTGCATTACTTTGTTACAGAAGCCTTAGCAAATTTAGAACACAATCACTTTACTATTTAAATGCATGAATGAGGCCTAGCATGGTGGCTTTCACCTGTAATCTCAGCACTTTGGGAGGCTAAGGCAGGTAGGTCATTTGAGTCCAGGAGCTTGAGACCAGCCTGGACAACATGGCAAAACCCTATCTCTACAAAGAAATAAAAAGTTAGCCAGACATGGTGGTACATGCCTGTAGTCCCAGCTACTTGGGAGGTTGAGGCATGAGAATAATTTGAGACCAGGCTGTAGAGGTTGCAGTGAGCCATGATCAGGCCATTGGACTCCAGCCTGAGCGACAGAGCAAGACTCTGTTTCAAAATAAATAAATAAATAAATAAATAAATAAATAAATAAGGACGAAATTATGTATCTCTAATATGTTTCTAAATATTCTGTCACAAATTTTCGCTCTCAAAAATTTAAATACAAGAGGGGAAAATCTATTATCTTTCGAGTACTATGTCTTCACTAATTTCTCTCCTACCTTTGTGCCCTTCATACACTCTTGTCTAAGGTCTTCTGGCACTGTGTGTTTGTGATCCTTTTATAAAATACAGTTCTGAGTATATTCGAAGCATTTCTTATTACTATGGTTTCCTAGAAAAAGCACAAGATAGAGTTAAGATGAGAAGTTTCATTATCTTTAACAAACTTTAGATTGATTTAAAGATCTTTAATGATCTTAAATCATTAAAAATAATTAAAGACCTTTAAGTCAACCTAAAGTTTAACTATAATTTTGGTTATAATCTTTTTTTTAATAAAAATCAAGGCTATAGGGTCAAGGTCAGAGCATTTGAGATTTGAGTTACTAGCCATGATGGATTTTTGCACCCCTCTATGATTACTAATGCATTGCCTTCTCTGCACAACGGTGATGCTACTATCACATAATCAATGTTGAAGCATAACCTGTAGGCAGAAACAACAATTACGATACCTTTGTTCCCACTGAAGAAGGAAAAGTATACTTATATCTACTTAGAGCTGCAAGCAATTTTGTTTGCATTTTGTTTATATATGTTGATATGTGTCTCTATATTTGTGTTGGCATATCAAATAAGAATAGTGTATTCATCCGTTTTCATGCTGCTGATAAAGACATACCTGAGACTGGGAAGAAAAAGAGGTTTAATTGGACTTACAGTTTCACATGGCTGGGGAGGCCTCAGAATCATGGCAGGAGGCGAAATGCACTTCTTACATGGCAGCATGAGAAAACGAGGAAGCAAAAGCAGAAACCCCTGATAAGCCCATCAGATCTCATGAGACTTGCTCACTATCACAAGAATAGCATGGGAAAGACCAGCCTCCATGATTCAATTACCTCCACCTGGGTCCCTCTCAACAACCTGTGGGAATTCTGAGAGATACAATTCAAGTGGAGATTTGGGTGGAGACACAGTCAAACCATATCAAATAGATTAAACCATTTATGAGGTTAGTATCTCAGTATAAGTTCCTTATTCTAAGCCACTGTTCCCTCATCTATAAACTGGGCTAATAAAACACTGTTTCCAAAACCTTGGACAATGGGATTAAATCAGAAAACATGTTCAAAACTCTTGGCAGAGCAGCTCATACATTGCAAGAGGTCAATGAATGATAGCAACTATGAGCTTTTATTGCCATAAAGCTCAGACACTGGATTCTTCAAAGGCAGAGACTGTAGTTATCTGGGGAAAGCATCATGCCTGGCATTGCAGACTCTTCATGATGGAAATTCAGCTGGACTGAACTAAAATAGACAAATATTATATTTACACAATGCTGTAAATTTCTGTTACTTTCTAAAAGTATTTTGATATTGCAAAGAAAAAGAATTATCAAATATTAAGGTATTTAACTGGGTAGGTGAAACAAACTATATTGAGGAATCAAAGTCAGTTCAGGCTTAATTCTATAATCCCAACACTTTTAAACAATATAGAGTCAGTAACCAATTACTCTATTCTAAATAGACATGTTTCAGAGAAAATTTAATAATTTTTTTTTATATTCCAATTTGTTTTGTTGATCAACATATTTATCTTTCCGTAGTTATTTAGAGTGGATAAATTTGATTTGTGATTTTTAAAAATTTCAGTTTTTTTTGAAAAAAGCAAAGCATTTTGTTAATTTTCAACTTTCATGGGTCTGAAATTAGTTCAAAACTCAAAACTGACAGTGGCACGAGTTCACTCAATTTAGCACAAGTGTGTTCTCTCTGTTCCTGTCTGAATGTAACAGATAATTTATCTTTTTTCACATTCAAAAAACTGCAACAATAAACTCAGGATAAGAACGCATCATAAACTCATAAGATTTTCAAAATATCATTTGATCGCATATTTCTCCTTCTTATAGTTTACTCTAACACAGGATTTCTGGAAAAGTATGCCAGACCTATAGAACAGCAAAACAAACAAACAAACAAACAAACAAACAAACAAAAACAAGAAAAAGGTGTAATGGGAAGATCACTAGGATAGGATTCAGGTATTCAGATTCCAGCCCTGACTTCCCTATTTAAAATTACATCATCTCTGGTTAACATCACTAAAGTTCTTTGGATCTCATCCTCCTTTTCTGGAAGGTGAGAATTATGATGTATGCATGCCCTTATCCATTAAAATGTGATTATGCTTTGAAAAATCACAAGCACAATTCAGATATGAGATGATATTCCTGTATGTTGTCTGCCGTGGCATATATTTTTCTCTACAAAAGTAAGTACTAAGTTAATGCCACCAATAGATCTTGCATGAATTTAATAATGTAGCTCTAATATTTACTGCATGCTTATTATGTAGCATTTATTGTCTGCTTAAGAATTAGGGACCTTAAATACATTAAGACTTAATCTTCGAAATGCCACTACTATAGGTGGTCATTGTTATCCTCATTTGAGAGAACAAAAACCACTAGGAACATTAGTTCTGTATATTTTGTCCCCATGTGCAGAAAAATGTTCTAGAATGGAACAATAAAGCATTACTATTTCCATTTAAGAGACGAAGCCTCTGAGACATAGGGGTTAAGTTGGCCAAAGTCAAACAGAAGGTTACTGTCACACAGAGGCCCCAATACTACTGGGAGGTAAGTACTGGGAGTTAAGAAGCTGCCATGAATTTCCCAGGTAGAAAGTGGTAGAGCCAGGCCTTAAACTGAGGTCTGTGTATCACAAAGCTGACGTGATTTCTACTGTGGCACCGTGTAAAACGATCTATGTTAGACAAGCAAAGTGCTACCTCCTTTCATTTAATAAGCCATTGTAAAATAATCGTATTGTGTTTTACAACTTCCTTGTTCACTTTCTCCTCCCTCCTTGGCTAGAAAGCTCTTTCTCTCTTCTTCTAACTGATTTAACTGGTCTCCAAAAGTCAAACTGGCTTTATTTATTTATTTTTTCCAGAGAGGAAGATTTATGTACCATTATCTATTTTTTTTTTTCCAGCCCTGCTTAGAGTTCAAGGATTTCTTCCTTAACAATGCTAGATCTTTGATGCATTAGATTTAAGAGGAAAGTTTCAGTGCAAGGATAAATTGACGAAAAACTTTTCATTGAAGTTCAAACAGAAAAACTTTGTACCATAGCAAATAATCCAGATTTTAGCCAACTCTCTTTGTTCACAATATCCTACGGTGTAGGCTATTTTTTAGTGAACCTTCTCTCCAGGAATCCTTCTTTCTTCAAATACCTTTTTTAGGTTCACTGTTAGTGCTTTAATACCTTGACTACCTATTTCTGCTCAGCACAAACTTTTTAGTTTCTCTTTTTCTAGTTAACACCATTGGAAATCAGATGAAAGGCAGCTTCTCACTTTGCACTGATAGTTGATCAAGATAAGCCAACACAAAGGTTACAGAGACGATATTGTTCAAGTTATACTAAGGTCGGTAACCAGTAACCCAATAACGGGGATTAGGGGGAAAATCAGTACAGATAATCTTCAGCTTCCAATGTCTGCACCAAAAAGGTCCAGTGCTAGCCTATTTCCTTTACTCTACATAAAGGAACCTCGTTCTGCTTTCGGAGCCCTTCATTGTCATGAAATCAGTCATTGAATCAAAGTCCCTAAGGACATTTTCCACGCTGTAAGTACTTCTTTGAAAGGTGTCTAATTATCCTGTAGTCCGGGTAGCTATCCAGCATGCCCTAGGATGAGACAAGTTACTTTTTTACCTTTTGACTACATAAGGAAACTCTGCAATGTAAATACTATGCTGTATTATCAGAAATGTTTAACTGCCTTCCTAGCCCATAAATGTTCCCATTTAACAACAAAGTACTATTAAGGGATACACTAAAATATTATAGTTAAAAGAATGGATTTTTAGAGTCACTCAAATACCAACTGAATCCCAAATTGGCCACTTTCTAGCTCTGTGACCTAGAGTAGTCACTTAAGTACCCTTGTGACTTAGTTTCCTCATCTGCAAAACAGGGTAATTTTACCCATCTCATAGATGGATTTGATCATCTTATTTCCCTTTCTCTAAATAATGACAACAATAAGCACCACATTATTCACAGTGAGCTTACCAAAATCAAAACCAAAACAAACAACAACAGCATTCTTAGCAGTGTTGTGAGGACTACTGTAGAGCACACCTTTTCGGTGCAGACATTGGAAGCTGAAGATTCAACAATGTATGGAAAGTACTTAGTGCTTGGTAAATGCTCCCTAAACAATTATGAACTGATCGTAAGTCTATTTACTATGCATAATTCTTAGGTTATTTACAGTATATTATTTGGCTACCAGACCATAGAGAAAGCAAATCATAGATCAAATTCTCTCACAAATGTAGACATGACTAACCAATACATTGACAAGTGGACACAAGTCAGGTCATACAAAATGTTATTTAAAGCTTGAGTAAGTCCCAGTTCTTGGTACAGTTAAGTGTTCCCTTTAACATCTGAAGTGAAAAATTCACTCAACACAAACAAATCCTTAGAGTTTCTCTCAGTCAATGGCTAGAACCAGTTTGTTTAGGGCTCACGTCCTTAGCATCATTTTTATTGCTACAAGCTTCAGGCCTCCCTGGATTCTTATACCCTGGTCATGTTTATGTCTCCAAAAGAAGTTTAACCAATCCACATATTCTTAAGAACTTTAATCTTACCAATTAGAGCTCTCTTTTCACATTAATGATGCTGATCAGTCAGTCACTATTTTCACCTCTAAAAAACCATTTTCCCATATAGTATGCTATTCATGAATAATATCTATTGATATCATTCTTATTTTGAACATATTTCCAACATCTGAGGATAAGCTACATATGGGTAATATAAGTGCTTGCATCAGTACCTGCTAAAGCGTTGTATTAATACGTTCTTATGCTGCTAATAAAGACATACCCGAGACTGGCAATTTATAAAGGAAAGAGGTTTAATTGACTCACAGTTCAGCGTGGCTGGGAGGCTTCAGGAAACTTACAATCATGGTGGAAGGGAAAGCAAACATGTCATTCTTCACACGATGGCAGCAAGGAAAAGTGCCCAGCAACAGGAAAAAGCCCCTAATAAAACCATCAGATCTCGTGAGAAGTCACTCACTATCACGATAATAGCAGCATGGGGGTAACTGACCCCATGGCTCTATTACCTCCCATTGGGTCCCTCCCACAACACGTGAGGATTATGGGGACTACAATTCAAGATGAGATTTTGGTGGGAACACAGTCAAACCATATCAAGCATGGAACTCTCATTAGAAAGCCTGCTTGTCAGCTGTGGACTGAAATTCTTGAATAGAATGCTCTTAGCATGTGGGATGTAGGCCTCACTCAAATAGCAAACACACAATACCACACTGCATAGTTTAAGGTAAATGAAAGCTATCATGACATTAGTCAATCCAATTTAAGAATGCATTTTTGCTGTTTTTTTTTTTTTAGATGGAGTCTTGCTCTGTCACCAAGGCTATAGTGCAGTGGCACAGTCTCGACTCACTGCAACCTCCGCCTCCCAGGTTCAAGCAATTCTCCTGCTTCAGCCTCCCAAGAAGCTGGGACTACAGGTGCATGCCACCATACCTGGTTGATTTTTTTTTTTTTTTGTATTTTTAATAGAGATGGGGTTTCACCATGTTAGCCAGGATGGTCTCGATCTCCTGACCTCGTGATCCATCTGCCTCGGCCTCCCAAAGTGCTGGGATTAGAGGCATGAGCCACTGTGCCTGGTGAAGAATGCATTTTTAAATAAACTATAAAGGAAACATATTTAAAAATTCAGAGGTTATGACAATGAACATCTTGTTTAACCTGTGTCTCACCTTGGGTATAGTTTTCAGAATAAGAAAGTTAGTGTCTGGCATTTGCCAACAAAAATAAAAAAAAAAACAAAAAACAACAGGTAGGTGAGGGTGAGTAGTGTATGTGGCCAAGGATGACAATGCCTGGGGCTTACTAACCAGTCTAAGTTTGGATATCTAAATTCCAAAAGCCATCTCTACCCTCAAGGCCTCTGGAAAATAGGTTGAAAACTGATTAAGATCCCCATAACCTGTGAAGATGGGGGCCATTGCAAACAGTCAGTTTCTAGCTGAGAGAAAACTCAGACAACAATGTACATTGTTAATAAATGTATTTTATGCAAACTTGATAAGTGGTCTGATGACGCTGAAAGGAGACACGAAAAATCTACAACTTGTCTAAGTTGTACATCACCCCCCCCAAAAAAAAAAGAAAAGAAAAGAAATATTACAATGCCTGTTTCGGACTGTGGAACCCAAAATGGTAAAAGTTATCTGTTCCCTAGTTGCCTTAATGTCAAATTCACTTCTTATCCACCCCAACCCCCAAAAAGGCAGAAAGAAGACAGAAAGTCCCTAATGTCTGATAGCTTCTCAGTATTCCCTGTTTATAGTTTTCATAGGAAAAGACACTATGGGAGTTGCATTGCATCTTGTGATAGAACTTTCCAAAACATTACTTTTGTCTATATACCTCACCCTTTATTAACTATGTCGTTCCAAGAGTGATGCAAAACAAACTTGTAAATTAAGAAATAAGCCATACTCCAGGAACTTCTCATTAAAATGATTCACTAGAGGACACATGTTTCAAAAGTAGAATATGAAAAACAACATTGCCACAGGTGAAGCCACAAATCTTTTTAAAAATCAAATAACCAAAAAGAATAACATTGCTACCAAAACCACCAACCCAAACTAATTTATCTAATACAAATAAAGGTTATTAGACATAGAAAAAGTCACAAACTAAAATGATGCCAAAATGTACAGTTATATGATAGATTTTTAAGTGTTTATGAAGAAGAGGGACCTATGGTAAAGTTTATTAAATTGTGGTATTACATTATATCTGAGCATCTAAAATGTATGCATTCAGCAGCCTCCTATATTCTGGGAATATAGAATATAAAAAAGTATATTCATAGAAACACACATCACTTAGAAAATCAATTCTACCTTTTCTTTTTCTCTAGAAATTCCTTTCTGAATAATCTAAAAATCATTGCCTCCTTAACAATGAGTCACTCTACTATAAACAACACTAGAATATTTACTCTTTGATCTTGATTCCTTGGAAGTACTGCTTCCGGACTAACCAGAAGGTTTTGCATAAGTCAAGTCTGAAGATGTGGGTTCTACTCCTCATTCTATCATAAATTAGCCCCTCTGTAACCTCAATTTCATCACCTGCAGATTAACTGTGTAAATTACATTTTAGCAAAATTTTCTTTTAGTTTTATAACCTGTGTTCATGAAATAACTCACAAACTCATAGTTCCTAAAAATCTCTAAATTTTCTCTAGTTTCTAAATTTTGAGTCACAAATATTTATATTAATAAAACTTTTAATTGCAAAAAAAGAATACACATATAGGACTTTTATCAAGACTTGATAAATGTGCTCTAGAATGTTCCCATCACATTTCTACAACTCGTTTTACTATTTCACTCAACACATTTTGAGCAACAGCCTCTCCTTCACTGAGTGGAGGCTCATGTACTACAAATTAATTTTCCTGTTAATAGTAAACCTAAGATTGTAAGGAATGAGCAACCACTCTGCTTCAAAGAGAAAGTGATATTTGAACCAGGCTTTGAATGATGAATAGGATATTTCAGGCAAAAAATGGAGGAAAAGCTACTCCATGTTAAAGGAACATTGTGAGCAGAGGCACAAAGGTGTCAAAGAGAAAATGTTGTTTCCTGAATTTTTAATGATTGCCATTCTAACTGGTGTGAGATGGTAGCTCATTGTGGTTTTGATTTGCATTTATCTGATGGCAAGTAATGATGAGCATTTTTTCACGTGTCTGTTGGCTGCATAAATGTCTTCTTTTGAGAAGTGTCTGTTCATATCCTTTGCCCACTTTTTGATGGGGTTGTTTTTTTTTCTGGTAAATTTGTTTGAGTTCTTTGTAGGTTCTAGATATAAGGCCTTTGTCAGATGAGTAGATCACAAAAATTTTCTCCCATTCTGTAGGTTGTCTGTTCACTCTGATGGTAGTTTCTTTTGCTGTGCAGAAGCTCTTTAGTTTAATTAGATCCCATTTGTCAATTTTGGCTTTTGTTGCCATTGCTTTTGGTGTTTTAAACATGAAGTCCTTGTCCATGCCTATGTCCTGAAGGGTATTGCCTAGGTTTTCTTCTAGGGTTTTTATGGTTTTAGGTTTAACATTTAAGTCTCTAATCCATTTCGAATTAATTTTTGTATAAGGTGTAAGGAAGGGATCCAGTTTCAGCTTTCTACATATAGCTAGCCAGTTTTCCCAGCACGATTTATTAAATAGGGAATCCTTTCCCCATTTCTTGTTTTTGTCAGGTTTGTCAAAGATCAGATGGTTGTAGATGTGTGGTATTATTTCTGAGGGCTCCATTGTGTTCCATTGGTCTATATATGTATATATGTTTTGGTACCAGTATCATGCTGTTTTGGTTACTGTTGTCTTGTAGTATAGTTTGAAGTCAGGTAGCATGATGTCTCCAGCTTTGTTCTTTTGGCTTAGGATTGTCTTGGCAATGTGGGCGCTTTTTTTGGTTCCATATGAACTTTAAAGTAGTTTTTTCCAATTCTGTGAAGAAAGTCATTGGTAGCTTAATGGGGATGGCATTGAATCTATAAATTACCTTAGGCAGAATGGCCATTTTCACAAAACTGATTCTTCCTATCCATGAACATGGAATGTTCTTCCACCTGTTTGTGTCCTCTTTTATTTCATTGAGCAGTGGTTTGTAGTTCTCCTTGAAGAGGTCCTTCACATCCCCTGTAAGTTGGATTCCTAGGTATTTTATTCTCTTTGAAGCAATTGTGAATGTGAGTTCACTCATGATTTGGCTCTCTGTTTGTCTATTATTGGTTTGTCTATTAAGAATGCTTGTGATTTTTGCACATTGATTTTGTATCCTGAGACTTTGCTGAAGTTGCTTATCAGCTTAAGGAGATTTTGGGCTGTGACGATGGAGGTGCTAGAGAGGATTTGGAGAAATAGGAACACTTTTACACTGTTGGTGGGACTGTAAACTAGTTCAACCATTGTTGAAGACAGTGTGGTGAATCCTCAAGGATCTCGAACTAGAAACACCATTTGACCTAGCCATCCCATTTCTGGATATACACCCAAAGGATTATAAATCATGCTGCTATAAAGACACATGCACACGTATGTTTATTGTGGCACTATTCACAATACTAGTAAAGACTTGGAAGCAACCCATGTGTCCTTCAATGACAGACTGGATTAAGAAAATGTGGCACATATACACTATGGAATACTATGCAGCCATAAAAAAGATGAGTTCATATCCTTTGTAGGCGCATGGATGCAGCTGGAAACCATCATTCTCAGCAAACTATCACAAGAACAGAAAACCAAACACCACATGTTCTCACTCATAGGTGGGAATTGAACAATGAGAACACTTGGACAGAGGAAGGGGAACATCATACACCGGGGCCTGTTGTGGGATGGGGAGACTGGGGAGGGATAGCATTAGGAGATATACCTAATGTAAATGACAAGTTAATAGGTGCAGCACACAAACATGGCACATGTATACATATGTAACAAACCTGCACGTTGTGCACATGTACCTGAGAACATAAAATATACTAAAAAAATTAAATATAGATATAATATACAACCTAGACATCTCATTCTTATATATTTACCCAAAAGAAATGGATAACTATATGTCCAATGAAAGATTTGTACAAAAAAAAAAAGGAGAAAATGTTGAGAAGTTCAATATGGTTATTTGGAAGGAGGTGGATAACAGTTGAACATAGAGAACTATAAATATTGTGGCCAAATTGTAAGGAGCCCTGGATTTTATTCTCTAGGTACGAAGGGTAAATAAACCATGACAGACAGAAAAGTGGCATGACCAGATTTTTACATGTGCAGCTGTAACTTTGACAGCAATGTTGAAATGGATTTTAGTAATAGAAGACCAAGGATAGGAAGACCACTGGTGAATAGTTTACGTGAGATTCAGGAGGCTCTCAAGTAGGGCAGTGACAAAGGAAATGAATAATATGTTTTGGAG